GTTACCTTGTATTTACTAGATTTACATACAAATAATAATGATAAATGATGATAAAATAAAAAGCTTGTGTTTTGTTTGTAAATTGCTTATTTTTTCATTACATTGAAATTGTGGATTCTATCAAACATTTTTCTACAGGATGTATGTACTGTATTTTTTTAATGTGGCAGTCTTTGAAGCATATCAACTGTGCAAAAAGAGGGCTAAATGTACTCAATGTTAACAGTAAATGCTGTTTTATTATGTCGATATTCCACACTAAAAAATGTGAGGGTCAGGGAATTTGGACAAAGTTGGTCAGGGAAAATCAGGGAAAGTCAGGGAATTCAAAACAAAAATTTGAGTAGGAACCCTGTACAAAATGTTTTTGCTGTTTTATGTTCTGATATTTTACTCTGCAAGCTACAAATGTTTATATTTATAAATACACATATAAACCCATTTTTAAAATTTAATCTTAATATTATATTTAAGCATAATTTGATATGAATTTTATATATGAACTATGTTCAGTTTGTATATGATAAAATATTACTTTTACTTTGCCCAAATTTTGGATTTACCTTAGATAAAGAATTTAATCATGATAGCAAACATTTCTATGGAAGAGTTAGTATTCCTAAATGTTTTAAAAGCAATGTGAATGAAGTAATATTGAGCTTATAATTATTTAATGGATTTATATCATTATAAAATAAAGTAGATTCTTGATTTATGTATGTTTGAGAAATACAAACTTGAAATAACATAAAATAAAATAAAAGAAGATATTTTTTAAAATATAAAATGGTTTAAAATTGTGCTCATAATATAAACTTTTGCACATTACAATTTTGATGTGTAATCAGGATAGCAAATAACAACTTTTTATGCTTTATTGGTCTCATTATTTATGGCACAGCTAAAAATTCACCTGAAACCTATTAGAAACAAATACTGCAGATTGCTATCCTAAGGAGTCTTATCTGCAACATAAAAATGTATGATCCCATCTCTCTCAGTAAATGGTGCAATAAATATGAATGACTACTATGATTATTTTGTTTGAATCAGTCTTGTATCTTAATTAATTCAACTAAAAGTTGTATTACAGGAAAGGAAATGAATAGTATCACAAAAATCCTGGAACATATAATTTGAATTCTGATATTAGATATCTGAATTTTCATTTTGGAGTTTATGATAAATTCACTGTTCCAACCATGCTTAGTTTCTTCACTTCAATATTAAACCTTCAATTTGTTTGCAGCCATATGATTTTACAGCAGAATACCATATTTACTCACATATAAGACAAGGCTTTTATTCACTTTTCACTGTTTCAAAAACCTAGGTCATCCTATACACTCAAGTAAAGGATTTTTTGCATATTTTTCAATAATTTTTCTGAACTGTGTATTTCACATTTTTTAACTAGATGCTTATTTACTCTCTTGTGTTTAAAAACAAAAGTATTTTATCTAGGTTGTTTGAATTGTTCTTGTGTATTGTCAGGAGTAAAGATGAATAGCAATAGGAAAAGCAAATCTTTTGAATTGAATTCCAGTTTGAAATTCCAAAATCACATGGAAACTAGATATAAGTTTTAATCCATTCCTACATAAAAACAGATGATTATTTGAAAATCAGAATTTGGAGAAACTCATAAGTGTAATCAACAGAGAGTGGATTTGACTGTTAAGAATTGGCAAAAAAGGTTCCCAATTGTCCAGCTTTACATGAACAAATTATGTTGATTTTACAAGATATTTTCTTAAAGTTTAAAATGCCAGTTATTTTTGCAGGACAATGTGTGTAATTATGTGCATTTGATATTTAATTTGTGATTAAACAAAATAAAATTAGAATTGTATTAATAAATCTAATTTACTTTATTTGATCTTTAAAGTCACACCTTGTCCTATATGCAAGATCATCTTAAATGCGAGTAAATACGGTAATTTTACTTACTTTTCTACAGATAACTTTTTACATATAGAGCAGAAAGCATCAAAAATGATGTATGGTTGCATGATAGTGGAGAAAGTGTTTGATAAAGTTCAAAGATTTTTCTCCATACATATAACTATTTATCCCATGTAAAATAAAAAAAAAGTTTTTTGTTTGTTTAATAATGCTTGGGAATCATACTATAACATTACAGTGTTTATCATGATTTCAGTCAATAATACAACAAAAAAATTTGTCAATATTTAGAATTTGTCAAACAGGGACTATTGGCTAAAACTTAAATTGTCAGAAGTGTAAAAACTTTTTATATTATGCAGCAACAAGATTTTATTATTATGTGAAAAGTTTGTTTTTATATTTTGTTCCCTTAGATGGTAAATATTGGAGGATAAAGAAAAAAAAAGATGTTAGTAGTAAGGAAATTCAACAAAATGAATATGTGGCCTAAGCATTGTTACAAAACTAAAAACAGTGACAACAATAATAATAATGTTAAATTAAAAATTTAATATTGAATATAAATACATAGAAGAAGCATTGGAAAAACAGGTTACAGTAAACAAATTTTCATGAGAATTGATATACAAATAAAATGCCTCTGGAGATACAGATTACAAATTATTGTTTTGTGAGAGGTAACTTACTTTCTAAGGATCCATAACATACTAATTGTTAAGACTAATGACAAGATGGCATGTCATTAGTCTTGACAACATCGGAAGGCTCAGTGATGCTCTGGGACCTATGTTTGAGTTCAGGTTAGAAATTCAAGTCTTAGTGATCTGTCATATATATGTTGAGCTCCATCCATTATCACCTGGCCATCCCCATTATGGGCCCAGTGAACCCATGATAGTATGAAAAAAGGCCATCGTAATGCCCACAGAGCAGAAAGGATTTAAAACTAAATTCTTACAAAAAAACAAAACACATCTAATTGTAATGTTAATTTTTTCAAATGCCTGAAGTGCTTCTGCTGATGAATTAGTAGAGATATGAAAACATTTAGAAAACGTTATTAAATAAACTTTTAAGTTCTTGATCAGTTATTTCTTGAAATTGAAACAGGTTTAAGTAATTTTAATATATACTGTAATTAAAATTAAGTATAAAATCTATGAACTACTTTTCAGAATTTTATCCCTAAAAAAAAATTTCATCATCATTAAGAAAACCTTTTAAAATGAGATAATTTAAATCATAAATTATTGTTATTATTATCAAAATATTTTTATAAAAACATTAATAAATCATATTATTAAAAAAAAACTTAATATAAATTTATAAATACATTATTCTGCTTATATTAAAATTGTGTATATTTTTTCATATTTTATAGGACAACATTCAAGTTTGCAGGAACACTTCCACCATTAAAAGTAAAAAAGAAGAAAAGAATTGGAATCTAATGGAATAAAATCAGAATCATTTGTATAAAATGAACTGTTTATTTGTAATTTATAAAAAAAATTGTTATAAATTTAATATGTAACAGTACAAATACGTATTTCTCATATTTTTGTATTCATTTTCATAAAAACTGTATCTTATTTAAAAGAAAATTAAAATATATAATTATTAGGATGACATATATATTCATTTCCATAGTTTTAAGTATTGTCGCATTAAACAATTTGTGCATGTATATACATTATCACTTTTTGTATTTACTAGTGTTTAAGTTGACTTTTTAATTATGAAAAAAAATCTCAAAAAAACTAGAGTTTGACTTATGACTAAGGCAGATATAAACTGCAAACCTTTACCCAAATCCAATTTATAATATTTTTGAAATGAACAGGAATGGTATAGAAATATTCATTATTGCAAAAACAGAATAGCTTTATATCATACACAGGTTGTTGAAAAAATTTAGAAATGTATATGTAGCTATCGTACAATTATATTTTAGTTATATAAACATAGCTGTCATACTCTACTGATTTTCCAAACTGAATATGGGGAAAGGATGAGAGTTAACAATTGAAGTAAAGTCCAAAAGTATACTCTGTGATACAAGTTCATTGATCTCAGCTGCTATTGATATCAACAATTGTGCCAAAGATACTGTTTGTAATAGTAAAATTAAAATGCTACAAAGATGATGGGTATTTATTATTACAGTAGAACCTCAAAAACTCGGCCTAATGTGGACCGAAGGGTGGCCGAGTTTGTGAAAATGCTGGGTTATTGGGAATGGGGTTAAAAAAAATAAGTATGAGTGTTTCCTCAGAAAATACTGTACTGTACTTGTATGTATTGTTTACTTGAGAATANAAATTGTGCTCATAATATAAACTTTTGCACATTACAATTTTGATGTGTAATCAGGATAGCAAATAACAACTTTTTATGCTTTATTGGTCTCATTATTTATGGCACAGCTAAAAATTCACCTGAAACCTATTAGAAACAAATACTGCAGATTGCTATCCTAAGGAGTCTTATCTGCAACATAAAAATGTATGATCCCATCTCTCTCAGTAAATGGTGCAATAAATATGAATGACTACTATGATTATTTTGTTTGAATCAGTCTTGTATCTTAATTAATTCAACTAAAAGTTGTATTACAGGAAAGGAAATGAATAGTATCACAAAAATCCTGGAACATATAATTTGAATTCTGATATTAGATATCTGAATTTTCATTTTGGAGTTTATGATAAATTCACTGTTCCAACCATGCTTAGTTTCTTCACTTCAATATTAAACCTTCAATTTGTTTGCAGCCATATGATTTTACAGCAGAATACCATATTTACTCACATATAAGACAAGGCTTTTATTCACTTTTCACTGTTTCAAAAACCTAGGTCATCCTATACACTCAAGTAAAGGATTTTTTGCATATTTTTCAATAATTTTTCTGAACTGTGTATTTCACATTTTTTAACTAGATGCTTATTTACTCTCTTGTGTTTAAAAACAAAAGTATTTTATCTAGGTTGTTTGAATTGTTCTTGTGTATTGTCAGGAGTAAAGATGAATAGCAATAGGAAAAGCAAATCTTTTGAATTGAATTCCAGTTTGAAATTCCAAAATCACATGGAAACTAGATATAAGTTTTAATCCATTCCTACATAAAAACAGATGATTATTTGAAAATCAGAATTTGGAGAAACTCATAAGTGTAATCAACAGAGAGTGGATTTGACTGTTAAGAATTGGCAAAAAAGGTTCCCAATTGTCCAGCTTTACATGAACAAATTATGTTGATTTTACAAGATATTTTCTTAAAGTTTAAAATGCCAGTTATTTTTGCAGGACAATGTGTGTAATTATGTGCATTTGATATTTTATTTGTGATTAAACAAAATAAAATTAGAATTGTATTAATAAATCTAATTTACTTTATTTGATCTTTAAAGTCACACCTTGTCCTATATGCAAGATCATCTTAAATGCGAGTAAATACGGTAATTTTACTTACTTTTCTACAGATAACTTTTTACATATAGAGCAGAAAGCATCAAAAATGATGTATGGTTGCATGATAGTGGAGAAAGTGTTTGATAAAGTTCAAAGATTTTTCTCCATACATATAACTATTTATCCCATGTAAAATAAAAAAAAAGTTTTTTGTTTGTTTAATAATGCTTGGGAATCATACTATAACATTACAGTGTTTATCATGATTTCAGTCAATAATACAACAAAAAAATTTGTCAATATTTAGAATTTGTCAAACAGGGACTATTGGCTGAAACTTAAATTGTCAGAAGTGTAAAAACTTTTTATATTATGCAGCAACAAGATTTTATTATTATGTGAAAAGTTTGTTTTTATATTTTGTTCCCTTAGATGGTAAATATTGGAGGATAAAGAAAAAAAAAGATGTTAGTAGTAAGGAAATTCAACAAAATGAATATGTGGCCTAAGCATTGTTACAAAACTAAAAACAGTGACAACAATAATAATAATGTTAAATTAAAAATTTAATATTGAATATAAATACATAGAAGAAGCATTGGAAAAACAGGTTACAGTAAACAAATTTTCATGAGAATTGATATACAAATAAAATGCCTCTGGAGATACAGATTACAAATTATTGTTTTGTGAGAGGTAACTTACTTTCTAAGGATCCATAACATACTAATTGTTAAGACTAATGACAAGATGGCATGTCATTAGTCTTGACAACATCGGAAGGCTCAGTGATGCTCTGGGACCTATGTTTGAGTTCAGGTTAGAAATTCAAGTCTTAGTGATCTGTCATATATATGTTGAGCTCCATCCATTATCACCTGGCCATCCCCATTATGGGCCCAGTGAACCCATGATAGTATGAAAAAAGGCCATCGTAATGCCCACAGAGCAGAAAGGATTTAAAACTAAATTCTTACAAAAAAACAAAACACATCTAATTGTAATGTTAATTTTTTCAAATGCCTGAAGTGCTTCTGCTGATGAATTAGTAGAGATATGAAAACATTTAGAAAACGTTATTAAATAAACTTTTAAGTTCTTGATCAGTTATTTCTTGAAATTGAAACAGGTTTAAGTAATTTTAATATATACTGTAATTAAAATTAAGTATAAAATCTATGAACTACTTTTCAGAATTTTATCCCTAAAAAAAAATTTCATCATCATTAAGAAAACCTTTTAAAATGAGATAATTTAAATCATAAATTATTGTTATTATTATCAAAATATTTTTATAAAAACATTAATAAATCATATTATTAAAAAAAAACTTAATATAAATTTATAAATACATTATTCTGCTTATATTAAAATTGTGTATATTTTTTCATATTTTATAGGACAACATTCAAGTTTGCAGGAACACTTCCACCATTAAAAGTAAAAAAGAAGAAAAGAATTGGAATCTAATGGAATAAAATCAGAATCATTTGTATAAAATGAACTGTTTATTTGTAATTTATAAAAAAAATTGTTATAAATTTAATATGTAACAGTACAAATACGTATTTCTCATATTTTTGTATTCATTTTCATAAAAACTGTATCTTATTTAAAAGAAAATTAAAATATATAATTATTAGGATGACATATATATTCATTTCCATAGTTTTAAGTATTGTCGCATTAAACAATTTGTGCATGTATATACATTATCACTTTTTGTATTTACTAGTGTTTAAGTTGACTTTTTAATTATGAAAAAAAATCTCAAAAAAACTAGAGTTTGACTTATGACTAAGGCAGATATAAACTGCAAACCTTTACCCAAATCCAATTTATAATATTTTTGAAATGAACAGGAATGGTATAGAAATATTCATTATTGCAAAAACAGAATAGCTTTATATCATACACAGGTTGTTGAAAAAATTTAGAAATGTATATGTAGCTATCGTACAATTATATTTTAGTTATATAAACATAGCTGTCATACTCTACTGATTTTCCAAACTGAATATGGGGAAAGGATGAGAGTTAACAATTGAAGTAAAGTCCAAAAGTATACTCTGTGATACAAGTTCATTGATCTCAGCTGCTATTGATATCAACAATTGTGCCAAAGATACTGTTTGTAATAGTAAAATTAAAATGCTACAAAGATGATGGGTATTTATTATTACAGTAGAACCTCAAAAACTCGGCCTAATGTGGACCGAAGGGTGGCCGAGTTTGTGAAAATGCTGGGTTATTGGGAATGGGGTTAAAAAAAATAAGTATGAGTGTTTCCTCAGAAAATACTGTACTGTACTTGTATGTATTGTTTACTTGAGAATATAACAGAGAATAAACTGCCCAAATACCCTTAAACAAAGGAAAAGTACGTCCTTTATGAAGGCATAGAGCCTTTACTACATGAAAATGAAAATTAATGAATACACTGTGTACAGTAATTTAACTGATAAGACAGACCTCAGAAAAATACTTTATGAGAATTTTTATACTTTTATAAAGCTGTCTATAATGAAAATTAATTAACTAAGGATTTGTTTGCCCTGCCAGGGTGTGGCCGAGTTATCCGGAGTGCCGGGTTATCAGAGAGCCGAGTTTTCGAGGTTCTACTGTATTAGTATCTACAAAGTGGATCCTTAAAATTATCTTTTAAGGATCCACTTTGTAGATGCCTGAAATTTGCATCTCAATGTTGTCATATCTGCTAGTTGTATTGTTAAAGAAAACTTCTGCAGCCAGCCTTTCAAAAGAAATGGTCCAAACACATTGGATAAAACATCTCAAAAGCAACAACTTGCCATGTCTTTGTTAAATGTGGATTTAGAATATGTCACAAAAGCAATTCATGAGAGTCAAGTCTGTTAAGGAGCATCAGAAATGGATCAAGAAAGACTGGCAACATGTTTGGAATGATGAATACACCTTTAATCTTGAATTTGGAGATTGAGAACTCCATGTATATTGTCAGATAAGCAGTTTTCAACTTGTTTACATGGAAACTAGAGTATCTTGAATTAATAATTTGGGGTAAAAACTGCTCTAATTCCAGGTAAGCTATGTATTCTTAAAACATGAATGCAGCTGTGTATCTAGTTATACTGGAAATGTTTATTTCAATACTCAA